AAGTTCAGAGCCTTTAGTAGCTTTTTCGGCTACAAAGATTAACAAAGAACAACAGCCACACCAAAAAGTCTTTCAAATGACACCTCCACAATAGTAGGTACACACAACGGACATGTATGAGTCGCTGTCTCTTTCTTTCCAGCCAATTTCACTCAAAACACTTTCTCCACGAACTTGAATTATAACAAATTCCTCCGGTTGACAAAGCTTTAGTTCTGCCGGTATTGTTGCTTTGCGAGTTGATTAGAAATTGCAAAATACTGAGAATTACTGTTCCAATACAACTTCACTAGTTTGATTTCCCGATTTAACGACATTGTTATTTTACCAAGTAGACAAATAAAAAAGGAAGCGTTTATTACAACAAATTTAAGACTAGTATTTTGTTTCGTTCACTTATGTTTTTTCCTCAGAAACCGCACGTATATATTAGGATGTTTTTTTCTCTCAGTTTAAGGAGTTCGACTGAACCACCCCTTGATCCGCCCCAGCCATGGTACTAAATTTAAATGCTTTAGGGGGCGACTTAATGGTGGCCATACAATATCAGGCCTATTTGTTAAATTTTGTATTTTAGTGCTTTACAATCATGATGTTATAGGATTACAACAAAACCGAACATACATTCATCATGCTTCTTTGGTCTCCACAACACTCGCAACCGAGCACGCATGGCATTGTGGGATGTCCAATACATAAACTCAAACATCTGGTTTTAACACTCTATACAATTTAACTGCATTTGCATTTTTTTCTTATTTTTAACGGCTCCGAGGCCCTTGCTATCTCTGGAGACTTCAATCTTCATTTTAGATGACCTCCGTGACAATGACACCAAGAATTTATGGATTTACTGGAAACGTTCAGTCTTTCGCAACACGTTTCGGGCCCGACCCATTTATCGGGTCATACCTTAGATTCAATTATTACTCGTTCCTCAGATGATATTGTTCTTGCTTCCCTAAAACTACTTTTCCCATCTCCGATCATTTTATTATTCAGTGTCCTATTAGTATCTCACGACCAGCTTTGCTATGCAAAAAACTGACTTTTCGTAAACTCAAAAATATTGATCTTGAGTGTTCTCAGCTGATATTGCCTCTTCTATGCTTTGTGCAAGCGTACAATGGGACAACATTGATGCACTCTCCGACTGCTTTAATAAAACCCTTACTGACATGCTGGATAGGTTTTCCCCACTTAAAACAAGGACTTTGATTAATCGTCCAAAGGTCCCATGGTTTAATGATGACATTTAACAACTCAAGCGTCAACGTCGTCGCCTTGAAAAGAGAGCCGTGAAAACTGACCTCCCTGGTAACTGAAATAATTACAATAAAGTTCGTAATCAATACTCTGCATTTCTTAAATCTGTACGTGTGAATTATTGTTCAAACCTAATTGATCAGTGTGCGGGTGACTCTCGCAAGTTATTTCGTGTGGTTAATTCTTTCTGTGGGGAACCACTTGAGACGGCTCCTCCAGAGTACACTGACCCCACAAAGCTAGCAAACGAATTTGGCACCTTCTTCCTCAAACAAATTGAAATCATAAATGAAAATCTTGACAAGTTTCGAGTTCAAGAACCTCGACGCATTCCAATTACTCCCCTAAGAAGAATCCGGAGAGTTTTTCCGTGCTATCCATCGAAGAAGTGTCTGAGATTGTTCGAGATCTCCAATGCCTCTTGTCGGCTGAATCCTGTTCCTACATGGCTACTGAAGTCCTGTCTTGATGTATTAGCGCCCCCTATCACTGAGATGGTAAATATCTCTTCTCAGTGGTCACGTTCCAGAAAATTGGAGAACCGCCGTTGTCTGTCCTCTACTGAAAAAAACCTGGACTTGATTTGGTCTATAAAAATTTCCGTCCAGTCAGTAATCTTCCATTCATTACCAAGGTAGTGGGAAAGGCTGCGCTTCAACAACTTCTCGTCCACTGTGAAAAAATGCCCCTCTCCTAAATTCCAGTCCGGCTTCCGTAAGTATCACTCGACAGAAACTGCTCTATTAAAGGTTCAAAACTACATCTTAATGAGTATGGATAATAAAGCAGTGACACTTCTCGTACTTTTGGACCTTAGTGCTGCTTCTGACACCATTGAACATTCCATTCTTCTGAATATCTTGCAACAGGATTTTGGAGTCGTCGAGACTGCTTTAAAATGGTTCGAATCATTTCTGTCCGGTCGCAAACAACGTATACTTGTTGGTGATAAGACTTCTGATGACTTTAATCTGAACTGTGGAGTCCCCCTCTCTACGTTTCCCACCTCTTCAACATTATTTCTCAGCATCCCCCTTCCGTCCATGGTTATGCTGACGACACCCAGGTTTACCTCTCCTTCCGACCTTACTCTATCCATTCCGAAATTAACGCTGTCTCTGCGACTGAGATGTGCATTGCTGATGTTCGTTCTTGGTTTATTGCTAATCGTTTAATGATCAACGACGCAAAAACTGAGTTTCTAATTATTGGCACCCACCAACAACTTGAAAAGATATCTATTGAATCTATTATTATTGATGACACCCTCATTAAACCTTTAGAAAGCGTCCGGAACCTTGGGTCCTGGTTCGATGCCCACATGCGAATGAACGTTCATATAGGCAAGATTTTGTAGCAAGGCTTTTCGCGGATTATACAACATAAGACAGATCAGAAAATTCCTTACTGTTCAATAAACTAAGACACTAGTCCACGCCTTTATATCCTCACACCTTGATTTCTGTAACGCACTTCTCTTCGGTCTACCTATAAACATCAACTCGATCGCTCACAGAAAGTTCAGAATGCTGCCGCTAGAATGATTTTTCAGATTCCGAAATTTGATCATATCACACCTGCATTTGTTTTATGGAACTCGCTGCCATTAACTATAAGAACAAGTAGTAGCCTCGCCATTTTTAAAAAGCAACTTAAAACATTTCTATTTAGGAAAGCTTTTAGTTTGTTTCAATAGCTCTAATGTTTATTGCCTTTGAATATTTTAATTTTAATTAGTATAGAACTTTAACTTATGTAAAGCGCTTCTGAATGTTGTTTATAGTTTTAGCGCTATATAAATTCCTTATCATTATTATTATCATTATCGATTTAAACACACGTAAGTTCCAAAACATGAAACGACCTACAACCACCTCAAAAGTTTCAACAACCATCTACAACAACCTCAAAAACATCTACAGCCACTCGCAAACAATCTAACACCATCAATAATAAGGCATAAATGTCCAAAATAAGGCGAGACAACATGTCACGTACATGAAATACGAGAATCGAACGAAACCTCCAACTCCCCCTGAAATCTTACTCCCTGGTCCTATGAATAATCAACCATCTCACGAAATGAAGTGCAAAAGCATGATAACTATATATTATATTCCCTCAGTAGTTAAAGACTTAAAGAACTGTTCCATCTCTTCAATATTTTTTGTAGGATCCATAATCGCTATTGCGACAGCTGCCGCCTAGACATTTGAGAAAGCCGGGCCTGGCAAGCATCAGAAACCGCTTGAAATCTCTCAAGCAATGAGAAAACTAGTCAGGTGTTTTCCTCTAAAACATAAATTGCCTTGACGAATGGCTCCCCACATTGCAGCTAGTGAAGCTTGTTAAAGCTTAAGGCTCACAACTTGATTTGGATCGGATAGGAAATCGACCGATTGACGTGAAATCTGGTGAGCAACATTTTCTCTGTCAGGATACCATGGACGAATCCACGTACATCTTCGATTTGTTCCAGGAGCTGTCTGTACACTTTCCACTTCGAACATGAACGAGTTTTTGTGAAACTCTTCGGTCCACCTCCAATTATTACTCGTGACAAAAGGCTCGCTTTGTGGCAGTGCGAAAATAATCAGATCCACATTTTGCCCAACTCACTCAGATAAGAAGTAAGGAATAACAATGTCATTGCTGACACTGTTTAGAATGTGAGAAAAACAAACAACATTGAAGGTCCTGAGAAATATGGACTGAATGCGATTTCATGCGGCTTTGCTTACGCTGGCATCGTCTCTCATGGCAGCCATCAACAAGTCTGGACTCAAACCATGTGGAATCAACAGTTAAACCACCGGCATTCCTTGAGCATTTGGGAAAGTTTGTCCCCTTCACTGACTTGGCCCAAATATTGATTCTGACCAATCGTTGCCATTTTTAATAGATCGTAGAACTCAAGTCAGTATCCTGCGGTGCCTAAAACTAAACGATATCACACCGACAAGAGGGCAGCCTAGAGCCGAAAGTGATAACAGTTTTATAAACAGAACAAGTCAAATTAAGTCTATTCAAGACGAAATATTGCATTTTGTTAAAGTCATAAAAGCCAGATTATGTTAGCAGAGCTCTATTTTGAGAACAGCTTAAAAGTATTCTCTCGGTTGGCTACATTGTACTCAGTTTGCTAAATTATGCTCGTTTTTCTATAAATTATGCCAAAAATTATGTTGGCACAAATCGTCAAAAGCCTAGCTGAAAACCTACGCTATTTGAAACTTCAATTCAAGTATTATGTTGGAGTTTTGCTCAAGGGAGAGGGGGAGGTGGAGAGAAAATGACTTATTGAAAACTTGGCGTTCTAAACGTGGGGTTTAACCCTTTACATCCTTAATGAGGATGAGAGTGATCTCCGTAGCAATTAACACCGCTTGAGCAGTAGTGTTCGTTACTGTGAAGATCACTCTCATCTTCATTTAGTAATCCGTAGTTCAACTATATGTTATTTATATAATCACAGTCATTTAGTATGCATATTCTCCATACTGTTCTCCATACATTTCTTAAGAAAATGAAGAGCTTTTTCTGTTGGTGATCATTTCCTGTACTCTCGTGACCTTAATATGTGGTTCAGGGATGACAATGTGAGGAGAAATTAGATGCTAGTCACTCTAAGTAGATCAAAGGATTAGTGTAAAGGAGGATTGTTGGAGTGTTTCCGGTGATCTAACCTCAGGTGACCCCATTAGATGTTGATAAAGGTGAAATCACGGTCCAAGTGAAATTGTGCATGTCCACTTTTATTTATTGTCTAAAGAACTAATGGTATGGAATCATACAGAATACTGAAATTTACAATTGGCACATAGTAAAAGTAGCATTCACCTTTCCTTCTCGAACAATTCTTTCTTCTAGTATATTCATACATATTGTTGAATGTTTACCAACTACGTCATATTAAGTTGAATCAAGGTAATTAAAAATTTTATTGCTCTTTAAGTGGATCATACAGCAACAGAAATGCTGTTTTAGAAACGCTCGGCAAGTATCAGACGAAGAGCCAAAATGATTAATACCATACACATTCCCAGATTCGCTTTGTTGATTCTGTGGAATGACCCCGAGTTGCAATTGTTTCCTGAACAGCAGCTGCTGGAGTAAGAGTACGACCAACTTATGGATGACGAAGATGAACAGGTTGGATAATCGGCCCTTCTCGGGCCACAATCGTCTCCCGGGGCGCCACATCTCTTGTAAAAGACGGTTTCCTCGTCATCGAGATTTGTACAGGTCAACGTTCCCGTGACACAGTTGGGTGAACCCGATGGACATTCTAATTTAGTCATCTTTGAGTTGCAATCTGCCCATGACGTTTTACTTGTGCATGTGTAACAACTCAGAGAATCTGTTTGAGATCGAAATATGCAACCTGTATGAGAACGAATCATCAAACAAAGCAGGGCAGATACCAGAAGCAAATTGCTAGTGAAAACGGCACTCGGTTTCATGTATATTGAAAGTGTTAGAAAGAAATGCTCAGATAAGTTTGAATTCATTTGAAATGCAGGCCACCTGGCCATGGCTATCCTTCTACTTACTTGCTGACTGAAATACGACAACCATGTGCACCATGATCACGAGTAAATGGAAAGCGTTAAAAGCCATTTCTGTGCCTTGACTCGTCTGCTCGAATAACAATCGTGCTTTAGTAGATGGAAGTGATCCCACTATCACGCAACTAACCCATATAAGGGAAGGGTGTGTATAACAATAGAAAAATATTCAGTATTTAAAATATTCGGAGAACAGTATGGAGAAAATCAATACTGATGTTAGGGTGTAAAGGGTTTAAGAACATGATCGGGAACTTTTGCAAGGTTTTATTTATTCTGGATAGTAGTCAAATTTGGAAGTTATCTATTTATTCTTCAAGACTTCTCTGAATGTTGACTTCAAAAATGTGAGAACATTCAATCTTGATTCATATATGACACTGTGAAGTAAGTCACGCTCACATTCGATGTAACACAAAGCCATACACAGCCCACGCTCTCACCTTAGCAATCGATAACAGCTGAAAAACCAGCCATATATAGGTTGAAAAACCAGGAGAAAAGTTTTTTTCTACTATTGAGCCGCTCTCCTCACGGAAAAACATCCAGTTCTTCTGAAATGGCGTTGCAAGAGTTGGCAAGTTTGGTTCTATGGTGAAGTTGACAGAAGGCTGTTGTTTGTTCAGATCCTGTTTAAAGCTATTAACGCTTTCGCGCGTGTTTTATCCAGATTATAGGCCTGTGAAATGATGTAATTTTTGTCTGTTTTCGGGACTCTCTACGCAGAGGTCAGCAATAACAGGGGCCGAACAAGACCCCAGCATGCAATAGTTCTAATAAGCAGATATTCGGTTCCGATACAGAACAGACGAGTTGTTCAAATCTGCCAGGCAACGCTTCTTGAACATCTTTTAGGGTTATTTCACAGTTTTAAACTAACACTTCTTTGTTTTAGTCGCCAAAGTATGAGAGAGGGGGATTCTCACGCTCTCCGATTGGCTTAGAAAGTATTCGCCACCCTCTCAACCAATTAGATGACAATTAAAGCCGATCGCGACTTCATCACTCCCGTTTTCCCGCGCTCGATGCTGATTATGTGTTTGCTTAGGGTTCTCATTGGCTTGTTGTCGTTGGCTTATTATCATATCTAGGAACTTATGATGAACAAGAGTAAAGTTTGGAAACTCTTTGTCAATTCGAAATTCTAACTCACGCAACTACATGTACTCGTACAAAACAGTGATGAGTCAACGTAGAGATATATTTAATTATTTTTAGGGAAAATAAACGTCGACTTCCTTTTTTAGACTTTCCAAGGAGGAGTTCTTTATTAAGATCTTCGTACTGCCACGTTGTCCTCTGCGGAAACCTGGATGTAAGTGGATGTTAATGTAACCGATTAATTTTGGTAATTCAAACGGAAAGAAGTTTTGGCGGGCAAACCGCATTCGAGACGTTAACACAAAAAGGATATTTACAGCGCTTGGAAATCAAGTGTCCTAAACTATATGACCGACCTTTAAATCCACTTTTGCTTTCACACTCTACGCTTGGCGCAGTGCTCGCACTCATATAAACCGTGAAGTTAAAGTGATGCATTAGGGGGTCAAATGAATCAACGAAGAAATATTTGTTTGATAGGTAGAAAATTTTTCAGTATCGTTTTCGCTGTATGAGTTGCATGTTATTGCTCAACTGTATTCAGTTCTGTCCATGTACTGACCAGTCGCCGGCTATCATATTCTCCCCATTTGTCTATAAGGACGATTGTTTCAACAGCAAAACTGGCTCGCGCGAGCTTTTTGAATTAGCACTTGAAACTGACAACTGCACACAAACAAGACATAACACGTTCTTTTCTTCAAACACAGTTTGGATCATCAGTCGGAGGAAAATTATAGAAAATTTGATATCTTGAAGTTAAAACTCATCTTTTTGTGGCTAAGCTCTCTATGAAAACTTTTCTTTCAGTACGTATGGTTAGGGCAAAGTCAACAGATTCAAACTGAAGATAGTGAATACGCAATACCCTAATGCAGCAAGTAACCAAGAGTTGACCTCAAACCTCTTTGGCTGATCAGACTATAATTTTATTCAAATCAAAATCCTGGTTTGGCGCTTTGACCCATGTGAATGTTTGCTTTGACCCATGTCAATGTTTTTAAATAAAAGAGCGTGTATTTAAGGTACGCCATGACTCAGCCAAGATAAAAGTACGACCAATTTTGATAATCAAAGGCTGCTTGGAGCTACCTCATTGTTTGTCTTAATCATTCGATTAAGTGGTTTCCTTTGTTTCTCTTTCAACTAAAAGGTGTCCTACTTGGAATGTGTTTATGTTAAAAAGTACATGATCTTGATGAGCAGCCATTATGTAAGTGTCTTGTTAACATTTTTGAGAAAAAAAAGTCTAAGTGTTTGATATATGTCTTTTCCCTTTCAGAGCAAACTTTCTTCTTCCCTTCTTTCTGTAAGGGAAATGTGCATTCCCAAAACAGGAGTATCATCGCCTACTTGTCTTCCAGCCCCTTTCCTCTTCCGTCCGTTACGGTGATTTCATGACTGTCCCTTTGCTTATTTACTAGTATGTCGAAAATTTGAACAGTTTTTGTTGGAAAGTTCGGACTTGATGTTTTCTACATTTCTTCGACAAACTAATTTCTTGTTTATATTTGCAAGTGTGAGCCGAATATTTACGGTATTTGTAGCTATCCTCGTTGTGATACTCCTCACACTGGGTCAGAGACTCGCCTCCCGAAACACAGCTGCCATCGTCCACACATTGTTTCCTCCGTGAGCTGATAGATCATTTGAATGGAGACTCCTTGCTAACCGAAGGGCAAGATAATTTTCATTAGTTGCTCTTGATTTAGCTTACATCTCTTTTTGCTTTCGCGCAAATTGTGCTAACTGACACAGACATTATTACAGGGACACGACTCATCATCGTTTCAATTTCACTTTTATGCGCTTTCACGCCCTCTTGCACTTCAGTCGTTTGCTTTGATATAATGCCTCATCTGAGAGAGATTAAACTCCTGCAGATATTCCTCACAGGGCGAACCAGTGGGGACGTAGTTGCTTGAGAATAAGAGTAAGTAACAGTGATTATACTCTGACAATTCAAGTTAGCACGAATCGTGTGTTCGTGATTCCAGTGTGATTTTGATAATTAGGAGCATTGAATGAAACAAAGGTTATAATAATGCAAAAAATACTTCGAATGTTCTCGCTGTATCCCTTCAGTTCTTAAGGGCATCTCTGAGGTAGGTTAATGTTGTTGATTCTATTTAACCTACTGGCGACAAAGGCTTGAGCTGCATTTTTGTCTCGCTTGATCGAAAATCGACTTTCCTACAATCCATCGTTTCTAGGTACCTGCTCTGAAGGCCGTCTCGCATGGGATACAATCAATTTGAAGCAATGAACCGCTATTCGATAACGCCATGAATTTCCAAAAACAAAAAGCATTCGAATACCAATACGAGTGAAGAAAATTTAACTGTGTGTCGTGATTTACATCAACGATTCCTTGACCCTCGATACGGGTGCAACGCAATATACCCTCACCTCAATTACATTTCGCACATACATATTTTTCAAACATATTTTTCAACGCCTTTAAACTTTAAAGGCCCACTTCCAACCTTGATGCAACGCGGTCGTCTGTTTTTGTTTTGAACTAGCGCTTTTGTTTAAATAGCGCCTCTGATTGGTCAGTTATTTTTAGCTTGTCACGTCTCGAGATACCTTCTGCGTTTTCTCCGATGAATTTGAGGAGGTTATCAAAATAATTCTGTTTGAAACAATTCTATACGTTTTAATCTGGTATGGAATCAGATGAACCCATTGATTTAGTAGATTCCGAGGCAGTAAACGCTTATGGATCGGTTGTTGCTAATGAGGAACGCGAAAATCCTTGCGAGCATTTCGAAGAAGGTGAAAATGTTGATCCACCACGTTTTCATTTATTCATCAATTTTTTTAATTGAAGTTTGCCATCCTTGTTAAATACGAATTAGAGTCAGTTGAAGTTTCCTGCCCGTGGAGAGGAACTTGCGCTCGAAAGAGTGGTCGAGGTTTTTGTCGATGCAAAGCAGCAAATAAGAATTGTAACGCAAACTGTCAGTTTCGCTGACGTTCCTGCGATGAAGTGACTAAACTTAAAATAATTAAACGTCTGGCAGTCCGATATTTTTCCATATTTCTCTTCGAAATCAAAAAAATATTTATACGACAAGCAGATATCTATATGATATAGTAGTTCAAATATGATATAGTGGCTCAACTAGATATCTGCTTGTCGGAACGAGTGCATGCTGGGGAGTCTTGTTTCCACTGTTAATGCTGAGTCCCTAAGAACAGACAGAAATTACATCATCTTACAGACCTATGATCTTGAATTTGAGGCAGGAAGCCACTCGCAGAGATACTCTCGGCTACTTCGGAGTCACTCATTTTCACAGTGTGAAAAGAAAATATAACTTTCAGTTTATTAAGTTACTCATAGTAACAAAAATCGCCCTAAACTTAGATTGGGTTCACAATCAATATATTTATAACTGAATTCCCTTATACAATAATACAACTTAACGTGTGCACTGAATAAACTAGAGGCTCCTACAACAAACCCAGTCTTAGTACTTACGTTCTTTATTCAACTTACATAATGAGGGTGTTAGGTTGCTGGGAACTTGAATTTCTTACTCTTAGGGATCTCGTATCGGTAGTTAGTAATGGTAATAGGACTGAGTGGAGGCCAATTCGGTCTGTAATCATACGTGTGATAACGAAATCGGACGACCGCACAGCGAGAGTCCGATTTGTTTATCACGCGCGAGTTTGATTACAGACAGAATTTAAACGACACGAAGTCTTATTACCAATTAATAATGAAAATTTAAATTCCCGAGAAAATAAAAAATTTTCCAGTTTGAAGAAAGCCCCAATTAAGGAGTCTGCACACTGTTTCTATGATGATTGAAACCGCGGTTGTGATTAGTTGATTTAAACTACAAGTTTGAATATGATTCGTTGATTTAAACTACCTATTTGAATGTGATTGGCTTATGGAACTGTCCGATAACAACTTGGCAAGTGAATTAGTGGAAAATAGGATTTTTAAACCAATCACAGTCGAGGAAATCGTAATTTTTATGAGTAAAC